ATCCACCATTGCCAACCACCTTGCACCTTCTTCCTCCATCTTCACCTACACCCATCCACCATAGCCAACCACCTTGCACCTTCTTCCTCCACCTTCGCCTACACCCATCCACCATAGCCAAACACCTTGCACCTTCTTCCTCTACCATCTCCTTCCACCACCCAAGGGTCGTGGGCAAAGGAGGGCTCCAAGGGGCACAGGGGAACTTAGGTAGGCCGGTAGGATGGGGGAAGGGATAAGGTTGATTAGGATAGGAAACTCTCTCTCTCTCTCTCTCTCTCTCTCTCCTTCTAGACCCCCGGCCTTCACCCCGTTTTCCCCTCTTCCTCCCTCTTCTTGGCACGTGACTAACCTATCCCCTCACTTGTTACATTGCCAGAGAACGAACGGTAAAGGAACTCGGTCCTCACTTGGTGGAGAAAGAGGGCAAGGGGGGAGCTGCCGGTCCCTTGTGCCACCAAGAAGGAAAGGAACGAGACCTTTGCGAAAACTTGGAAAGGCGGGATCTTGCGAAAGAGTTGAAAGAGTAAAGGCTTGAGACCAGGTCAGTTTGACTCAACGCTTCTCCCCGACTGCATGACTAAGGAGAAGGCTGGGCTTGCTTGAAGGGAGGTAAAGAGAACCAAAAAGAGTCATTGGAAGAGAAAGGAACTTAGGCTTGCGGGAGGGGCGATGTGTTGACCCCCAATGGGGATTGTACTTGGTCTGTGCTTGTGTGGTCTTGTGCAGGTGAGTAGCTTAGGAGGGATTGAGCGGGACTGGACCCGCGGGGTGTGGGCAAGATGAGGGAAGGACATGGGCCTAGCATAAACTATGAGACGTGGGTGGGGCTTGATGGTTGAATGCTTGGATAAAGGACTGACAACGGAGTGCAACCTTGCATGGTGAATGGATGACGTGGCTCTTTTGTGCGCAATTCGAAAGCCTGAAAAGACTAAGGGCGGCAATGGATATGCGAGTACGATGATTGTAAAGCAAAAAAATATAGGGGCCGGGGGCATGGACGGCGTGGCCGCACCCCGATGACGCCATAGAGATTGCCATGCTTAGTGAAAAGGTGTGTGGCCCAATGGATGACGCTTGGCCTACACACGAAAGAAGATGAATTCTCAACGAATTCCCTGGACTGCTTGTGTATTGGAAGGAGCAATTGCCTGGCCACACTTAAGTGAATCGAGAAAACGCCACGAGTGACCAAAGAGCTACCATCTAACGCGAGAGCGGAGCTACATCCCCAAATGTAAAGCCCTCTCGCAAAAGGCCCATCCCCATCCATCTCATAGCACTAGGTGCGCGTGCCCCTGGGACGAACGACCCGCGCCCTGAGCATGAGGGTGGGCGGGTCGAGCCAAATGAGACCCGCAGTGGGGTCGACTCAGGCTCGAAAGTCCTTCAGGGTACGGTATAGGGCCAAACCCCGTTAGACTTTCGAGACTGAGTCGACCCCACTGCGGGTCCTAGTTGGCTCGGCCCGCCCACGCTCATGCTCAGGGCGCGGGTTGTTCGTTCCGAGGTCACCCCCACCTAGTGCTTTGAGATGGATGGGGGTGGGCCATCGCGCGAGAGAGCTTTGACATTGGGGATGTAGCTCAACCCTCACGCCGGGTGGTAGTCTCGCTGGTCGTTCCGCAACGCTGATTTTTTTTTTTCGATTCTTTGTTGTGTTCTCATGCAATTGCTCCTTCCAATGCGCAGACAGTCCAAGGATTCTTTGAGTGTTTCTCTTCT